AACAACGATCACGCCGACCTAGCCCAGTCCTCCAACCACAATAGCACGGCACCGGCAGCCGCGCGACCCCCCACCCCCTGGCAGTAGCCTCGGTCGGCTGCAGTCGGTGGCACGTACCCGGCCGTGGTACCAGTCCTCGCAGACGACGCACTGGATCATCTGGTCGGGAGTGTCGTCCTCCGCATCCGGGTACGGCCGCCTGCACGTGCAGTACAGGCCGGCGTAGTTCTGGTTGTACTTGTTCTCCGGGTTGGTGCCCGTTTTGGCTGTGAGGCGGCAGGTCGTGTCGGGCTGCAGGCCACCGCCGCAGTCGCAGCGGAAGTTTCTACGCCAGGTCATATCAGGGGGGTCAGAGTGCAGAACAATGTGGGCAACGCGGAACCGATCGTGACAAGGCACCAGAAAAGTGCAAGGACTCTACATAGACATCATAGTGGTTTACATTTCACAATGACTAAATTTGTATATTTTGGAGTGCAAAAGAATGTTCTTGAAATGTACTTCAGTATCCCATTAATTTTGAAACATGACATTTTGATGACAGCCAGTAAATTGGAGGCAGTTTGTGAATATAATGCCAAAAAAACTCTTGCCAGTGACACATGCTGTACCTTGCTAGCTGAGGTACAAGATGCATCACAATTGCCTGGTTTGGATTTGATGCAAATATGCAACTTGTCACAACTAATCACAATATCTCATGGCAATCAACATGAGGTGCCAGTGGAAGATGTTTCACCTGGTGTACCGATGCAATCACCAACCCACCAATGCAGCTTCCATTGAAACAACTGCAAAATGGTTCATTAGCATAGCTGGTTGGTGGCTCAACCCGGCCATGTGGGAGACTGGCAGGTCACACCATCATGTGCACTTACCGTTTGGTGTACAGCTCCACAAGCTCATGTGTCTCATGACAGTGGTAGCTGCAGGCCAGGCAGACACCAGCTGGCTGGTCCTTGCCAGAGCATGTGAGGCAGGCATACAGAGGTTGCCGCTTGACATACCCCTGCAAGGGTTAAGGTTGGCAGTCAAAGAACAGGATGGTCAAGTAGGGGAGCATTAGGTCTGCCCATCCAAAGTTCCTGTGGTGTTGAGCTATGTGGTAAGCAATACCTGTCAGCTGGCATAAAGAAATTAGGCATGGCAGAAGCAGTATGGGTGGATGTCAAGTATGCACTGGATGACAAAGGGGTGCAGAAACCAGTGCGGAAGCAACCCCAGCCAAATCCCAGTTGGCCTGGCATCCAATATGTGACCAAAATGGTCTAATTATGACATCTGTGCCTACAGGTAAAGTTGGGGGATTTGGTAACAAATCTGTTGAATGGTAGATATCTGGTTGCTTTTCACTGGACCTTGGACAAGCCCTATATGGAAAGACAATGGATGCTACCTGGTTGTTCTTACTGGATCTTGGATATGTGCATACAACAATGCATGATCTGAATATGACCATGCAGGTCCACAAAAAAACATTGTTTTTAGGCCACAGAAGCATATTGAATGTTGTGATTAAAAACATCAGCAATTCCACAAAGCAAAAATGGCTTTTTCTAAATGTCTGTGTGCATGTCAATAAAAGATTAGGTTAGCATGACCAGGCTACAGTATCCAGACACTCATTAGCTCAGAGCACAAATTCAAATACATACACATCTCAACAGGGCACATCATGGACCACATATTGCAAAGACCTGGTCATAAGAGCAGTTCTTGTCATCTGTGTTTCCCAGGACAGCAGCTGCATCATCATCAAGGTCTTCTTCTTCTTTCAGGACATCCAGCATAGTAATACTGTCCTCATTTGGTGGAATACTGGATGAGCTTCCACTTGCTCCTTCAGACATGACAGCAAAAATCTGAAGGGAATAGATCAGTGGGGCCAGGGCAAATTACAGATCCTGCAATAATTTTTTATTTTGGCAACAGGCAAGGCAAAACATAATTCCCAGGATCACAATAAGTATGATAGAAATTTAGTAATGTGCAGAGAAAATGAAAAATGGTATAAGATAGGTGGGCTCTTAAATTCAAACTTCAAAATTATTAAAATGCAGTGCAGCTCAGATGGATTCATAGTGCATGAAGCAGCTCAGAGCCACCCAACATAAAACCTGAAGTGCACATGTGCAGTTTATATACACATAAGGGTGGACACGTTGCTCACTCACCTGCAAGCCCCGAACAGCAAAACATAAAAGTATGAACTGAGACGGCCGCTGCACCTGGCGGTTCTGCGAGTTTCTAGGCCTGGAGATATGCAGATCTTGCTGGGAACCCAGATCGTCTAATCGTCAAGAGAGTAAAGCACAGCCAATGGGACACGCTTAAACAAGTAAACATGCACTATTGAACTTCTCAAAGCCATAAAATCAACATAACAATGACTACAACGGCGAATCCCACCCACGCGACGAGTTTCTGACCGAATGGTCCGAAAACGGTATTCATGCCGCAAACGCCGCGCATCCAATCCCGCCAAAAAATCCCGCTATTCTCAGGCGGTTTTTGTGCTGCCAAACATTTCTCCATGGAAACGCCCTCTAAATGATATTTGTTGTCCGAGGGCGTGTCGACTTTGTTGGCCATTGCGCGCCTCCTAGAAACACTGAAATCAAGCAATGTCCCTCATTCACGTCAGTGTCATGCAAACAACAATCGCTTCCATGCATGGATGTCTAAATAATGAGCAGTTGACATGGGCGCAGCCAGAGCTTTGGTGGGGGGGGGGGGGGGGGGGGGCGCAGGGTTGGCAGAGTCCCTGGTAGTAAGAAATCCGAAAGATCGCCGGATATGATCGGTTGTTTATTGAGGACATGTTTTACTTATATACATATACATACACATATTCACACACACACACACACACACACACACACACACACACACACACACACACACACACACACATATATATATATATATATATATATATATATATATATATATATATATATATATATATATATATATATATATATATACATATTATAGCCCGAAGTTTAAAGTAAATAAACTGACAAAACCGTGCGATAGGTTACTTCATGGAATAAATGGAAGCCGCTCTTAATTTTAGGATGGCCTAGCAAACTATTTTAAACCGACAGAACTCAGAAACGTTGTCAGAATGTTTAACTGCACTATACAGAAATGGCAAGGATTCGGCGAATGTAGATTGAGGATTGAAATGGGGCAACAATTTGTATCAACATGGCTGGCCATGCTTGTCTAGACGTCTTCAACATTCGGCCAAAATTGATGAACGTTAAAAATTACATAGCGTGGCTTTAAGCATGCGCACTTGCATATCTTAGATACAAAAAACTCGCCGCCAGGCGTTGCAATCTGACTAAAGCCGTGCAGCGTCGGCCCCGTGGCTTACATTAGGCTGTCGCCAGGGGCGGAGTCAAAGCCTTAGCAAGGGGGGGGGGGGCATAGGGTTGACAGAGGGCCCCTGATAATCAAAGGGCCCCCCCCCCCCCATAATCGCTGGATATGGTCCACTTGTACTGAGGACATATTTGTTCTCAGATATATTATTGGCAGCCGGAAGACGCCCGACGGTGGATCGTAATGGCCCTACAGCCCTTGACCGGGAACAATATGTGTCCCTAGCGTTCTTCTCGAGGGGACGCCTTACACGGAAATAAGGGGTCTCATTCGTGTTGAAAAGAGTGAGTCGAATTGAGTTAAAAATTGAACGAGGTCATCCGATTTCTAACTGGGAACGTTAATTATTTTTGCATAATCGATTAGTGAAGCAAATTACATCAAAAGATTTGAGCCCGCGCACCCAAAACCTTGGGCGAAGGGCAGCGATGGTCCGGGTTGCAGTTTACGTCAAAGTAAACGGCGTTGGCCAGTGCAAGTAGCATCAGGTGGCGTGCGTTGTGCGTGCGAGAACGACCATCATAAAACAATCGCTTCGAATGTCTGAAAATATATTCTTACCCTTCAAAGATTAGACAAGGTGCATCATTTTTACAACTCTGAGGTTGTACCCTAAACAGATAAACACAGCAACACGAAAGTAGGGACTCTACCTTTATTCTTCCAATTCCACCACCAGCTTCCAGCAATATTACACACTGCTGCAAACGCCAACTTGTTTTTATCATCAATTTAAAAACGCCCAGACTAGCTTCTAAATGTACGATTTGATGCTCTGGAGCGTTGACGATGCGTCTTTCAGCTGCGTTATCATTTTCGTCCACCCACTAGCCAAATCTTAGCTTTAGCTGCGGGGCTGAGGCTGCAAGGCCTATGGGGACTGCAACGCCTGGCGTCGAAGTTCAAGATTTCAACAAGATTTCCGAGCGCGCATGTTCAAAACTACGTCGAGTAGTTTCAATAATCGATTCTGGCTTATTGCTGATCATGTCCAAAAAGTTACTAGGCTTTGCTATTATAAATTGTTGGCCCATTTTCATCATATATGTATATATATATATATATATATATATATATATATATATATATATATATATATATCAAGGAAATGCGTGCCCTCATTAACACATGGGGCGTATCCGGTGATTGGGGGGCCTTTTGCTATCAGGGGGTTCTCAACCCCGTGACCCTGATTACCAAAGCTGTGGCTGCGCGCCTGCCCGCTGGGCCAATTGCAAACGTTATTTTAGTCGCGCTATGAGAGGTGCGCCCGGGGGTTGTCATGACGACAATGGTGAAGACCGCAGGAAAGAAGCGTGGTGCTGTTAAAAAGCGTCAACAACGTACTTTCGACTCGAAACTAATTACATTTATATCCTTGTTATGTCTTGACGGTGTTGCAATGGTTAGTTTGGCTAATTGGATCAGAGCCCTTTCGACCAGAAATGATCATTTCAGGGTCATGGGATGAAGAAGAATGAATAACGGTGAGGCAGGACTACATACGCTTGGGGGCCGAACCACCGAGACTTAGCCAGGGCAGAGACTCCTCTGCGGGGTGTACGCTGGGTGTCCATTCGGGGTCCCCCTCCAGAGGCCTCTCGGCCCACTCTTGGCTGACGCATGTAGCCACCAGTGATCATTTGGCTGTATGCATCAGTGGCATGTAGTCAAATGACCTGAAACTGCCCCAAATATGTGTACGCTATTCTGGAAATGGTCATTGCGCAATCAATCATGACCAGGGCATTATGCATTTTTGCAAGGCTTGGAGAGCAATTTTCCGATGATATTTCGATATTTATCTCGTTTGCTTGTGAAAGACCATACCTTGATCCTCGGGATTCGAAAATAAAAAGGGTGGCTTTCCGCTTGAAAAGACATCATAAATGCACCGGAGATTCCCGCGTAACGCACCAAGACTGGGCGCGCGCCGCACCACCGGCTGCAGGCTAGCCGGCTGACTCCCCCCCCCCCCCCCCCACACCCTGTGTACTGCCGGGGCCAGGGTAATTGGAGCAGGGAAAGATGGAGGCGTACTGTGAGGATGATGTCTCTTGTTCATGTAGGGCAACTCTGAAGTCGGACAAACGTCCAGTGATTGAGCCTTGAGCCAGTGCCTGTTGTGCGGCAGGAGCGCGTCGTCGTATTGACGGTGTCTTGCGACATTGAGACGCTCAAATAACCCCAGTTGTGCCGATTCATGTGTAAAACACAAGACCAAAGCAAGGCAAGTTTTAAAGAGAGTATGAAAAAGACAAAGTATTAAAACCGCTCAACAGTGGTACCTCTCACCCCCAACAGCTAACAACGGCCCTCAGCAGATTCTGCCGTCGTCAGCGGTTGCCGTGGCGGCAGCGGTTGCCGTGGCGGCGGGGGTCGCGACGCATGCCGTTGACGAGGACTCGGTATCCACTCAGAGGGTACCAAGAATGGAAGAGAAAAAGTGTATTGCCGTTGCAAAGCGTTGACAGCGTTATGATATATATATATATATATATATATATATATGTATGGGTATATATATATATATATATATATATATATATATATACATCTTACTTTTTTGGGTTTTACCAGTGAATCTTTTTGAGCCATGCTGCAAAGGTGGGACACTCCATTTGAGGACAACATCAAACGAACTGGTCAATCATGTCTAGGATCCGAGTACAACAGTCCTGACACCCCTGCGTTGCAAACGTCGCACCAAACTTACTAAAAACCTTGGAGGCTTTCCTGGGCACAATAACGCGGAGCCTCTTGCGGAGCTGGAATGCGAGTTATCCAGCTTACAGCCCCAGGGTCTTTAACTCAATGAAGGGCACAGAATGCTACAAGAGATGTTTTCCTACTCGAAAAGGAAACACATCTGAGTCATGCCGCGTGTCGTGTTCACAGGGAATCTTGCATGATGCGGGAGCGTGAGGATTGTCCACGTTTAAGATAGCGTGCGATCCTTTTTGAGCGACGCAATCAATGCGCAAGCAGAGGACATTGTGGATTCGGTCAATGAAACCAGGTTTAGCCGGTGAGTGAGCACCAGCCGCTGTACTTTAACTGACTTTGTTCTGCCAATCAATGAGTTTTGGGCCAACTTGTCATAATCCATGATTGCAGTGAACAGGCATTTGTTTCCAGCCCAGCGTCAGGGTAAATTCTTCGATAACGTTTAAAACGACTGTCCGAGAACGAGATTTTGTTCATTTTAGACGTTTCAGAAAACTACACATTCGTCGTCCAAGACGACGTCCAGCAGTTTCATTAAGATACGCCGCAATGCGTGCTGCATCCTTTCGTGGTTCATTGACCAAGACCTGGACAGACTACGCATACAAGTTATTGCGCGCTGTCAGTTTCTATGAAACGCAACACTATTGCGGCCTATACTTTCTACGGTACGTTTTACCAGAAGTGAGGAACCTTGATTCCAATATTGAAACAGTGTATTAACTTTTAGGTGGTCAGCCAGGCAGTACAAGAAAGAGGTCCAATTCTTTTAACGCGCACTTGGGTGGGGGGGGGGGGGGGAGAGTCAAATTGCTCCCCCCACACGTAGGGTTTTCCAGAATGGTTTCCGATGGCGCAGCCACGCAAAATTTGATAGCTGTAGACAACTGAATAGCAGACCATCTGACATCAAACATTTGGATGTGCAATGTGATGTCGCTGACCTATGGCAGATCAAAGTCAGGCCATGGTTTCAGCGAAGGCAATTTCTAGGGATTCGTTCAATGTGATCCAAAAACAGAGACGAAGCCGAATACCTCTGACATACTTCTTTAGGCAACACAGCGATTGAATGAGCAAATTACATTGACATAGGGTCAGGTATGAAGGTTAAATCTAGGTAAAACCAACCCGTTACTATAGGGATTACTGTATGGAATAGACTCTGGCATGCATTTCAAATTTGTTGATAACAGGAACCGCATTATACACGTTCAATGGACTTCTAAAAGGTCACAATAGGCCACTGGACTAAAATGCCTCGTTGTTCCGCATTAGTTCTTCTAGTTATTCCAGTAGACACTTACC